CCAAGTAACCCAGCTAATCAGCCCACCCCCACCTGCAGCAGGGAACCTCCAACTCCTGGGCCCACTCAGCCCACATCACTGGCCCAGGAACAGGAGAGACCTGGCAAACTCCTCACCCCAGCACAGGAGACTCAAACCCAACTTGGGGAGGAAAAGTGTAATTTTCTATGGACAAGGAAGTCTGTGCTTTTTTGTTATGGGGAGGTTGTTTGTAGAAGCATGGTTTTGTTGTTGTTGTTGTTTTGGTTTTGAGATGGAGTCTTGCTCTGTCTTCCAGGCTGGAATACAGTAGTGTCGACACAGCTCATTGCAGCCTCAAACCCCTGGGCTCAAGCTATTCCCTGGCTTTGGCCTCCTGAGCAGCTGAGACTACAGCACACCTTCTCATGCCAACTTTTTTTTTCTTTTTAGAGACAGGGTCTTGCTATGTTTCCCAGGCTAGTCACCAACTCCTGGTCATAGGCAATCCTTTCACCTTGGCCTCCCAAAGTGCTGAGATTCTGGTTTCAATAGGATCATTCTCTCACACACACACACACACACACACACACGCACACCTATACCCTCATCCCCAGCTGTGCACCTAGGGTCTCCTAAAACTTCATTGGACAGATGTGGATGCCAGATGTGGGAAAGAAAAGAAAGACAGGGCTGGGCTGAGTCAGAGAATTCACTATCTGGGGCTAATGGATTTTTCCAGAACCCCACTGATGGGTGGCCATGGTGAGCAGTGAGTAGAAGGAAGCCCAGCCCACTTGGTTGGCAGTTACTCCCCAAAGGACTCATCTTACTTCCTGCATCTCCCTCCCTTCCATCCCCTTCTCCTCAGCCCCATACCTCCTCCCAGACCAAGTTAGACCTTTTGCCCCCGCTGAGCACCCAGCCCAGGCACCAGCCTTTGAGAAAAAGAAAAGCTTTATTGCAAGGCAACTGGCAAAGAAACAATTTAAAAAAAAAAAAAAAAACACTCAAATCTGTCTCCTGGAACTGGGAGCCCGGGCCTGGGTCAGATTTTATAAGAGTAGGATAATAAGGCATAATCTGATTGGCTGTCTGAATGAGGTAATACCAGGAGGTGTGATTTGATAGGATCATTCTATGGAATGATGCCAGGGCTTGATGTGATTGGACCTTGCATCCAGCCACGTGGCGTTTTCTTCTTAATTCAGTCCTCCCTCCTTCTCTGCTCATGAAGCATTTAGGTTCCAGTGGTTACAGACTTGGTTCATCTAAGCATGTTTTCAACCTGGGAGGTCCATGGCAACTGACAAGAAACTCACAACTTTGTTGCATAAAAGTTGAGCCAGATTGGTCTGATATGGTTACACTGGGGTTCAAACCCGGGTTTCCTGTCACCCAGATCCAGCTTGTTCCACCAGGCAGCACCTGCTTCCTGAGGAAATGGGATTTGAGCCAAGATTTCCATTATTCCTGGACTGGCATAGTGGGAGAGGGATGAGGGCATTCTGCGTGGTCAAACAGGGAGGATAAATTTGTGGAGGCTGGAGTGAGAGAAGCAAGAGGCAGGAGGTGAGTAATAGTAGCAGCCAGCATGTAATAGGCACTGCCAGACTCTGCTCTAACTACCCCACAGTCCTCTGAGGTGGGACCCATGATTGTCTGCAATCTGCAGATGAGGAAACTGAGGCCCAGAAAGGTGAAGCAACGTCATCAAGAGCACAGCCCTCTCCCTTCTGTTCTTTCTGTTTGGGGACCAGGCTCAGAAGAGGGTCCCTAGTCTTTCTTCCCTAACTAAGAACCAAGACAAAAATGGAGGCGGGGGCAGCCCTGCTGGGCATAGGAGCAGACCAGGAGGGGCCAGACCAAACCACAGGACAGGATTTCTTAGAATTTACAGTATGGGGGAGGCTAGGGCTGCCCCGTGGCCTTCACAGCAGGGAGAGATAGGGCGATAGGTGACCACACTGGTGGCCTTAGGGGAGGAAGCTCTGCTGTCCCCCTCCCCCACAACATCCTCAAGGCTTCAGCCCCACAACAAGGCATGGGAGGAGCTTTTACATCAGGTTGGAACACACACGTGTACATGAACATGTCTCATAAATGAATACCTGTACACGTATACATCGTGCCCACACCTACACTGAGTGCTGCGTCCCACATGCAAAAATAGGCCAGAGCATGTGTGTGTGTGAGTTACATCCCTGTCAAGGCACTTCACACCCGGTCACCCATGCATACCCATAACCCCAGGGCCAAATGGGGTGCCTCACCTGCACCCCTAAGTAAGGACCAGTGAGGAGCACCTCCTCCCACAGGCTTGTCACACTCAGTACCCAGTTCCTGGATCCCTCTGTCCCTTTTGATCTCTCAGATCCCCACTATCCTCTGGGAATGGCACAGTCACTAGTATTTTTTTTTTAATTGAGGTGAAATTCACATAACATAAAATTAACCATTTTAAAGTATACACTCCAGTGTGGCCTTTAGGATGTTCACAACATTGTGCAGCCAGCACCTCTACCCACCTCCAAGGTATTTCCATCATCACAAAAGTATTCGTGTCCCCATGATCACTGACTTCCCATTCCCCTATCTCCTCTAGCCTCTGACAAGCAGCAATCTGCTTTCTGTTTCTATAGCTTTATCAGTTATGAACATTTCATATAAATAGAACCAAATGACATGTATTCTTTTGTAACTGACTTCTTTCAATTACTCAAGTTTTCTAGATCTTGACTCAAATGTCACCTCATCAGAGGGACCTTTCCTCACTTGCCCAGTCCCTGAATGCCCCAGCCATCAGCTCACAGCCCTCAATAGCATCTGACATAATCCTGATCATCTGTTTGTTCACATGAAGATTTTTCCATCTCCTTCTCAAAAGGTCACATCCTGAAAGGCAAGGAATAGGTTTTATTCTCTTTGGAAAGTTGTGAATGAGTAAGCGAATGAATAAATGGATGGATGAATGGATGGATGAATAAACAAATGAATGGATGGATAGATGGATAGATAAATGAACAAGTGGATGGATGGATACATGAATGAATAGATGGATGTATAAATGAGGAATGAATAAATGACCTATGTGACACCCTCCTTCTTCTTTTTTCTTTTTTTCAGGTACTTTCAAGATCATAGTTTATTTATTACTTCAGATAAAAAGATAGTATACATATTAAGGAATACCTTAAAATTCAGCTCCAGAGTTATACACCATCTAGTACTTTTGCATCAAATCTTAACCAAAACAATGTCTAAACACCTGAAAGCCCAACTATTAACATGAACCATCCTAATAAAAATTTGACATTTATTTGTTCAATGTATATTATTTACATTATGAAACCAACCTTGGTAGGATAAACAGTGATAAATAGTAAAAATAAGCTTTAAAAAGCAAAGGTTTATACTATGCTAATTATCATAATTGTATATGAAGAATTAAAACATAGCAGAAGTCTCTGTTACAAAATTCTTAGTCATCTGAGTTGTGGTCATTACTTGCTACCCATTTACATGCAACACCTGCTAGGACTGACATTTGATATTTTTCCCTAAGAAAGTGTGAGTAGGTAAGTGACATTTCAGAGTGGACATTAATTTACTGTGGACAGAAAAAGAAATCTGTCCTCAAGATTGGTGCTGGTGACAAGCCTATGGAAATTATTTAAAAAAAAAAAAAAAAAACAGTAAGACCACGAAGAAAAAAATTTCAAAAAGGAAATGCATAGGCAAAAAGTATCATGAATGGTACAGCTCAAAAAAATCTGGAGCCAATCAGATGCACATCTTTTTTTTCTCTCCTTCAGTGAAAGGTCTATTTTGCCATCAAATAACAATGACTTCTGAAGCAAGTGAGGGGCACCTGGTGTACAATTAATTAAATCTTGCAAAATACTAAGATGGGGGCAGGGGCAGCCAGAAAGGGCCATTTATATATAACTCAAACTATTTCATACCTGGAATGCAGCCCATCCCAACTGGCTTTGTGAAACAACTGGACCTTTATGATTTAATAGTTAAAATTGTAACAAGTATAATAATGCAATAGATTTACATGGGAAGCAAAATCCAAGGGGCATTTTATGTTAAGTATTTACTGTGATGCTTCAATTTTTTTCCCCTTTATTAAATCATAACTGTGTACATTAATGCATTTATGGGGTGCCATGTGCTGATTTGATATACAATGTGGAATGCTTATATCTAACTGATTAACCATCTCCTCACTTATTTGTTATGGTAAGACATTTAAATTTAAAAATAATTTTGCTGGCTCGGCACCCATAGCTTAGTGAGTAGGGTACCAGCCACTTACTCTGAGGCTAGTGGGTTGGAGCCTGGCCCAGGCCTGCTAAACAACAATGACAACTGCAACCAAAAAATAGCTGGGAGTTGTGGCGGGTGCCTATAGTCCCAGCTACTTGGGAAGCTGAGGCAAGAGAATCGCTTAAGCCCAAGAGTTTGAGGTTGCTGAGAATTGTGACGCTAAAGCACTATCCCGAGGGTGACATAGTGAGACTCTCTCTCAAAAAATAATCCAATAAATAAATATAATTTTGCTAAGTATACATCTCAACAACTGAGGTCTATGTATAAAATGTCCTATAGATACAGATATTTACCTTTGGCACGTTGAAGGCCTTTTTGTGACTTCTGTCTGAATCATAGGCAGAATGCTAGACACAGAGGCACGTGTGGGAAAACTCAAATTGAGGTAATCAAGTTGTGCGTGTGTGAGGAGGCTGGAGGTACTTTGAGAGTCAAAGTAAACCAGAAACCTTAAACAGGTAACAGTGAGAGTGGCAACAGGGAATGGAATGCCAATATGGCAGTAAAATTTTTTTAAAAAACAAAAAGCAGAAGGCCTCTCCTACTAGCAGAATCCTGCATACATAGAAAAAGAAAAAGCCACTCACCATTTGGTGAAACAAAAGCCAATTACAGTGTGGGAAAGTACAATCTGCACAAAACCAGAAACCAAGAGAAGAAAATCTACTGGTTTACAGGAAAGGAGACCATCTCATTCTGGGCAGTCACTTAGTGAACGCAGCCCCTGCGGCCCACTGGACCTCGTCAGTGTCGGCCTTCAGACGCTCCACTTCAGCGGCTAAGCCGAGAAGCTGCCGCGCTCTCCTGGTGGCTAAATCATCACACTCATCCAGAAAAGGACCAAAAGCATTCTCCAGACATCGGAGGCGTGGACCAAGGAAATGAGGGCCAGGAAGCACTTGTCCGGGCGGTGAGGGTCATTCACCCATTTGTCAAGAACAGCTTCTTTTTTTTTTAGAAAAAGACAGAGTCTCAGTTTATCGCCCTGGGCAGAGTACTGTGGTGTCACAGCTCACAGCAACTTCCAACTCCTGGGCTTAGCCGATTCTCTTGCCTCAGCCTCCCGAGTAGCTTGGACTACAGGCGCCCACCACAACACCCGGCTATTTTTTTGTGCAGTTTGGCCGGGGCCGGTTTCGAACCGGCCACCCTCGGTATACGGGGCCGGCGCCCTACTCACTGAGCAATAGGCGCCGCCAAGGAACAGCTTCTTATACTTTTTTTTTATTAAGTCATAACTGTGTACATTTATAGGGTACAATGTGCTGATTTTATATGCAATTTGGAATGCTTACATCAAGCTGGTTAACATAGCCTTCACCTCACTTACTTGTTGTGTTAAGACATCTATACTCGGCTCAGCGCCTATAGCTCAACCGGCTAAGGCGCCAGCCTCCTACATCTAAGGTGGCGGGTTCGAATCCCCAGCCCGGACCGCCAAACACCAATGACGGCTGCAACCAAAAAATAGCCGGGTGTTGTGGCAGGCGCCTGTGGTCCCAGCTACTTGGGAGGCGGAGGCAGGAGACTCGCTTGAGCCCAGGAGTTGGAGGTTGCTGTGAGCTGTAATGCCACTGCGCTCTACCCAGGAGGACAGCTTGAGGCTCTGTCTCAAAAAGAAAAAAAAAAAAAAAAAAGACATCTATACTCTTCATAGATTTGACATGTACCTTTGCAATATGCACCATAGGTGAGGTCCACCCAGCCTCCTCCCTCAGGTCCCCCACCCTTCCCCTCACCCTCCTTGCCCTCCTCTTCCCTCCTTCATTCTGGGCTGTAGCTGTGTTTTATCATTAGTATGAAAATGTGGGTAATTATATATTTGTTTCTTCCATTCTTGAGATACTTTACTAAGAACATGTTCCAGTTCCATCCATGTGAACATAACCAGGTGCTGCTTAATGTTGTTTATGATGGGATGTGTTGCCATGTCAAAAAGTAGAAAGTTCTATTGTCAACATGCCCTTTTCCACCAGGTTTTTAGCTAATCGTTCCACACATTTCTTTTCTTTTTTTTTTTTTTCAGACAAGAAAACCTTTTATTTTAAACCACAAATAGTCAGCAGGTGGCCACAACTATCCATGTTTCGTTATAATTACATAAAACCTAGATACAAAAGCACCACTGATTATTGCTCTAGAAAAAACTGCATGAACAATTCAAATATGCACAGTAAAAACACCACAGTATGCACAGGACTAAATTTTTAAAGCAAGTACCTGGAATGCTGAATCAATGTTACACACAGCTTCCAACTGATATTTATTTTACTTGAAGATGATGGAAATTTCCAAAAAGCATGACTATGAGGGGGTAAAATGTCCATTTTTATATATTTTTGTATGCCAACTAGTAGAGTCCTAAAAAATTAGCAATTACAAAAGATTTGGTAAAAATAGCTTTTAAAAGTTGTCCCAAGAGATACATAAAATCAACCCCAATCTTTCACAATACATTCTCCCTTGTTACCTACTGATTCAGTTTTCTGTGCCTTCCTTTCCAGCTTCCTGCTTCTCCTCCTTCTTCCCCTTATCCCCGGTCGAGCTTTGTTCCAGGTTCTTTCTTAGCAGATGTTTTTCTTGGTTTAGGTTCAGGTTTCGGAGGAGCAGGTTTTGCTTATTATCTGGCAGGTTTAGTTACTTTAGATCCAGCTTTGCCCTCTGTAGTCTCTGGAGACTTTCTCTTCCACATAATAACTGTGTTGGTGCAGCAAAAAGTAAAGCAACCGGCTGGAAGTGCTGGCTCCACCTCTGGATGCTGCCGTGGCATCTCACACACAGGGAAAGGCGTTTCCACACATTTAAATGGTAATGTAATTTTAATGGATTCCACGTCTCACCACTAAGTAATTCAATCCAGCACGTTTCTGGAGTCTGAGTCCCTTAACATGCTTCATCAAGTAGAACATCTCCCCTTGGCCCACCTGACTCACAGATTACCTGTTTTGTTAATAGACTTTTACATCTCATTCCACAAGCCTCTAGTTGTAACCTTCCTCTCAAAGCTAATTCAGTTAACATACAACCAGGTGGCTCGACTTCCGTAGCTCAGCGTTTAGGGTGCCGGCATATACACAGGGGCTGGTGGGTTCGAACCCAGCCCGGGCCAGCTAATCAACAATGACAACTGCAACAGAAAAATAGCCGGGCGTTCTGGTGGGCACCTGTAGTCCCAGCTACTCAGGAGGCTGAGGCAAGGGAATCACTTAAGCCCAAGAGTTTGAGGTTGCTGTGAGCTGTCACACCACAGCACTCTGCTGATGGCAACAGAGTGAGACTCTGTCTCCAAAGGGGAAAAAAAAAAATACAGCCACGTAATCCAGATGATACACAGTCATCCTAACATAATGCAACCCTCGCGGTCCTCCTCCATCGGGCTCAGCCACGTGTCCTGGGAGTCGCCCTCATGGTCCCACTAGTTAGGGAGGCTCTGCACGTCTCCTCGCCACCCGCTGCCCGCTCCTTGTGGGTGGGCAGCGGGAGGCCTTGGTGCTGCTCTGGGTCAGTGAGGGCATCAACAACCTCCTTCTTCCTCGTATTCCTTTTCCCCATTACATGGCCCCAACTTCCTTCTCAAATCTCAGCTTCAATTCAGTGACATTTACCACTGTATGACAGGTCCTGTCCCAAATACGGGGGCTTTTTGCTGTGAACATGAGGCACAGGATCCCCATCCCCATGACACCGTCATCCTTGGGCAGAGACAGACCGTACAATCTGGTGACACAGAAGTTAACTAGACTTGAAGCTGTTACTAGGAGCGTCGTCTCATCCTTTTCAGTTCCTTTATTTGTTCAACAAATATTTACTGAGCACCTACTATGTTGAGGATCACTGCAAATAACCAGTTGTTTTAGAGTGCGTGTTCAGGGAAGGCCTTTCTGAGAAGGTGGCATTGGAGAAGAGAAATGAAGATGGAAAAGAATCAGCATTCCAGGCACAGAGAACAAGTGCAAAGACGAGCTGGGAAAGGACCTCATAGAACAGGAGGGACCTTGAGAAACAGTGATGCCAGTGCAGTAGTAACAAGGGGGAAATGGTCCTATCACCACATATGTGATATTAGGCAACATAGGTAAGTGCTTCAAGCCTCAGTTTCCCCATCCGTTAATGGGAATCTTAATAGTGAAGACTTTTTCAGAGAGTCAAAAAAAATCCAGGACAAATCACCAGCAGTCACTGGGACATCTGAGAAATGAATGCCCACTTGTGGTAGGGGACAGATCTTTGGAAGTCTTAGTAATTGCAGGACAAGTTTAAGCCTCCAGGTCTTGTGTGACCCCTCCTCCCAATGTCCCCAGCCTGTGTCCAGCTTATCTCCAGCTCTTCCTGTTTACCTGAGCCCACTACATGCTGCCTTGAGAGCTGTTCCTGGTTACTTTCTCACTGACCACCCTCCCGCTTCAGCCAGCCCTTCACCCTTCCAGAATCCCCCACATAGACTCAACACTCATCCTTCCCATGCTTGTTAAAAATGTTTATTTAATGGAAGGAAACTTTATAAAAAAGAAGAGAGAAACTTCCGTGGTGGAGGGGATTTCCAAGATTCCACTTCGTAGAGTAGCTTTCCCTGCCCTTCCCTTCATATCTCAGAAATGCTCTGAAACAGAGATGGGATGAGCACCCCAGCTCTGAGGATGGAGAATGTGTGGCCACTGATGAGGAGATGAGTCACAGAAACACCTCAGACAATGAGCCAGCTCTCTTGTACTTGTGTGATGGATTTATTTATTTTCACTCAACCTCACACACCACAGGATGGGGGTGGGAGGGTAGTTACAGCGAAAATATGCTCAGAACCGCCTCCATCACCTCCATCTCACTCAGAGAGGAAGCCAAAGTCCACACCTCGGCCCAAAAGACCCTGCACAACCAGTTCCCATCACCTCCCTGCCCTCCCCTCTTCCCGCTCTCCCTCTCACTCCCTCTACTCCAGTCACACAGGCCTCTTCATTATCCCTCCAACAGGCCAGGCACATTCCTGCCACAGGGATTTTTCACAAGCTGTTTTCTCTGCCTAGGAAATGCTCTTCCCCCCTGATATCTGCATGACTCCCTCGTTTGTTTCCTCCATGTCTCAGCCAGTCATTTCTGGCTCAGTCATATAAGCTCATGCCTGTAATCCCAGCACTTTGAGAGGCTAAGGTAGGAGGATCACTTGAGGCCAGGAGTTTGAGACCAGCCTGGGCAACATAGAGAGACCCCATCGCTACAACATTTTTAAAAACCTTTCTCAGCAAAACCCTTCCTGATCTCCCTATTTCAATTATTATATTGTACCCTACTTCTTTCTTCTCAATGACACTTATCATTACTAGTCCTACTCTATAATGTTCTTATTTATTTTTTTACCTGTCTCCTCTATTAGTCTGTCAGGACCACAGAGGCAGAAACTACATCTATTTTGTTCCTTACTCTTTCCCCAGTGCCTGGAACATAAATACAGGAGACTATCTTTGTGATCCTGACACATGGAAAGATTCTTAAACAAGATAAAACTCCAAAACAGAAGATTAACAAATCTGGCTACATCCAATTTTCAAACTTTTGTACAACAAAACACACTGTGAATAAAATGAAAAGACAAGTCAGATGAGAAGTTTATGATCAATAAAGATTTGCTAAATGAGTAAAAGAATAAAAAGTGAGTGAATCCTAACACTTTGGGATGCAAGGCAGGAGAATCACTTGAGCACAGCAGTTCAAGACCAGCCTGAGCAAACAGCGAGCTCCTGTCTCTACTAAAATATAGAAAAATAGCTGGGCATTCTGATGAGTGTCTGTAGCTCCAGCTGCTTGGGAAGCTGAAGTAGGAGGATGCCTTTTATTCGGGAGATTGAGATTGCTATGACCTAGGCTGATGCCACAAAACTCTAGCCTGGGGCAAAAGAGTGTGACTCAGAAAAAGAAAAGTGAATACATATACATTTATTATGGTTGAGCAGTAAGTTTATCCCTGAGCTCCTTGGTAAACAAAGCAAAAAGGGAAACAGGATTAGTTACATTCTCCATAGAGATAAAATAGTCCAGTTCTCAGGGAAGCCCCTGTGCCAAGCAAGTTACATGCTTCTTCTCATTTAATCTTCACAAGAAATTTCTAGGGATTGTGTACATTTAGAGATAAGCATTTATAGGTATGTAAGGGAGGTTTAGTTGCATATGTGAAGCCACCCAGCCCAGTCTGGATACTTGTTCTGCCCAGTGCCCAAACTCACCTGCTAACCACTAAGCCAGCTTTTCCCAAACTGCTAATTAAAAGAATCACCTGGGTGCTAGTGACAATATAGATTCCCAGGACTGTCTCCTGAAAGTCTAATTCACTATGTCTATAATTAAGCAAGCACCGATAGGTGATTCTTGTGATCCATGAAGTTTGAGTAATGGCACTTCATGCCACAAAGTTAGAGAGAGAAAGAGACAAACCAAATACCTAAATATGAAAAGCAAAACTTTATAATATTTAGAAAAGAATTTAGGAGACTATGACCTTAAGACAGAGAAAGATTCTTCAACAAGTCAAAAATGTACAACTGTAAAAGAAAAAAATTGGCAAATGTGGCTAGGTCCAATTTTCGTACCTTTGTACAACAAAACATCTTGTGAATAAAATGAAAAGACAAATCAGATGAGAAGTTTGTGATGTTCCTACATGACAAATGTGTATATCTGGAATATAGAGTTCTGAGAAATCAAGAAGAAAAAGATGTATATCCCCACAGAATGGGTAATTCATGAAGGAAGAAAACCTATGTGGCCAAAGAATCTTGGCAAAGATGATCAACAGATGACTATAGGTTAAAATCATTTTATATCCACCTAATTGGCCAAAAAAAAAAAAAAAATCAGTTAATCTGAGTGTTGGCAACTATGTGGAGAACACAAATTTCCTTTGTCTGGGGGGAAGGGGTGTGAATTGGTAATACCACTCTGCATAACACTTTGGAAACACCACAAGCCCTTGAGGGATCTGCAAGTCCATTCTGTGTAGATAGCCCAGTGCAGCGGTCAGCAAACTATGGCCCATAGGCAAAACTTGGCCACATTTGTTTTTGTCAATAAAGTTTTACTGAAACACGACTACAGCAATTTGTTTACATATGGTCTATGGCTGCTTTCATGCTACAACAGCAGAGTGGAGTAGTCACAACAGAAGCCATTTGTCCCAGAAAGCCAAAAATATCTACTCTCTGGCCCTGTACAGGTAGCATCTGCCAATGCATATGCTGGATTAATACTTTTCAAACTTTAACGGGCAGGTAGATCACCCAGGAATCTTGTTAATAGGCAGGTCCTGATTCAGCCATTCTGAGAGGAGCTTGAGAGTCTGCATTTCTAATAAGTTCCCAGGTGATATTGAGGAGTGTTGAGGATCCAAATAATTCAGGGTTCATTCAGGATATGTCTGAGAATCCGTGTAGACAAGACAGAAAAACACAACTACATCAGCATCTTCAACTCATTTTATCTCTGGCAATCGCCAAGCAAAGCAGGCAAGAACCTTCATTCAACATTTATTGTGGACCAGACACACCTGAATCAAGAAAAGAATTTGATACAATCATTTCCCAAAGAGATCTCACCAGCCTGGAAGGATAGACAGAAGAAGAAAAGTAACATATGGTTGCAGAAAGTCCTAAAATTCAGTCCCCACATCAATCATGAATCTGATAGATGTAATCAAAGTTTCACATGGATATCCCAGGTGGAAAGCAGCTCCAGAGTTCGTACAGCAACAGCTTCCAGGAAGCCACGTGGAATGTTACAAGCTTCCCTGTGGCTCTTGAAGAGCAGAGGTCATACCTGTGGCCCCAGGGCACAGCACACAATGAGAATAATTGACATATCTTGGGTGAATGTTATAGATTTGTGCATGTTCCCTCTTTCTACAAACTCTCAGTCTGGATCACTTTTTCCCTCACCCATTTCCTGCTTACACATATGTAGCTCAAAAAATATTTATTGAAAAACACAAAACACATATATAATTTGAATGATTCATATTTCATTCCAGGAGCCATCATATGTAAATAGTATTGGGAAAAACTGTGAGCCAGACTGGGCAAAAGGAATGAATTTTCAAGAATAAGCTGACATTTCCCCTGAAGAGAGCACTACTCTTCGGATGAGAACATGAGAGCTTTCTAAAAAGGAAATAAAGAGGAGAGTGGAGTTAACATTTTCCAAGTGCTTACTATATGCCAGGTTGTGTGCAAAGTGCTATGCACAGAATAAGCAAGTCTTAATCTTCTCAAATTATCTAAGGTAAGTTTGGTGGTCTCCACTTTAGAGAAGAGGAATTTACACCATGCTGGCCATCTCCAACCAAGGGAAAGAAAGAAGGGCAGAGGGTCTGATTGAACTCCTATATTAAGAACAGGACCAGAGGTGGAATTCTGTAAGAAATGGATTTTGACTCAGGAGAATGAAGAGTAGGGTGACTTTTGAGGAAGTGAGTTCTCCATCTCTAGAGCTATTCAAGTATAGATTGGATGACAACTCATCAACAGACTCTAGGACCCCTTCTGATATGGAAAGTCCAATTTGCTTTATGTGGATTTTTTTCTGGATGTTTCCAACCTGGACCTACTATCCACCTGAGTCTACCTCCTCCTAGCTGTGGGTCCTGGTTGGGGCTGCCCCCTTCGGGCAGGCCTCCTACATGCCTCCCTAGGACACTCTTGAGAGATGTGGATCTCCAAACCAGGACCAAGGTAGGGAATAAGGCAGAATGCCTGCCCCTACCCTACCCACACTCAGGGGCAGCAGTTGAGCTGGAAGTACAGGTCCTCAGAGGGGAAGTAGCTGAATGCTACAACTGTGACCAGCAGAATGGAGAGCCTGGCCATGTTTTTGTTCTCTGCTTCCTCTAGAAGGCCACACATGGGGTGAAAGGTGAGGCCTGAACTTGTCCTGGACAAGAACCAAGGGCTTAGTAGGTAGAGGAGAGCCCAGCTATGTTGTTTAGGGTGCCAGGGCTGCACAGTGAGAATAGGGCTCTTGGGCTATACAGTGACATTGCCCACTGATTATCAGTGAGATGGAGTCCCCCTGCATGTCCCCACCCTACACACCTTTGTGACAGTGATAAGTCCAGCATGACCAAGAACTAGCCTGGCCATGATTAGAGTTGGGGTCTTTTTATCCAGAATCTAATAAAATCTCTGACATGATTTTAAAAATAATATTAAAGAGAGAGGTCCTGGGTGAGAAACTGAGGAAGGGGTGGGCTTTGATGAGCCCTGGAAGCCCAAGATCCCTGGGAGACTCTCCCTGCAGAGAGGCCATTTATTCCTCCCAGCTAAAAGGGAGGTATGTATACCTGATCATAGGGGGCAGAAAGCAGCTGGGACAGAGAAGACACTGACCTTCCCACACACCCACAACATTACTAATCTGTTCTAGCAGCTTGAGCCCCTGATCTGAGACATAGAGGAAGCCATCTGGATTAGGTAAGGCTGAACTCAAAATTGGCAATAAGCAAACTCCTGAGGAGAACCCAAAGAAGTAAGTATTCAGACCCCAAGACATTATCTCCTCCTTCAGTACGGCCCCCAGTATGTCTCTTCCAAAACCCCCATCCCTCTCCCCCAGAGCAGGAATCCTAAGGCCAGTAAAGTGTCCAGACACTTGTTGCTAAACTAGACACAGAGGGAGGCCCCAAGATGAGGAGGGGTGGGGGACAAATTGTAAAGAAATGAATGAGTGGGAGAATAAATGAATGATGAACAAATGAGCACATTAATGAGTGACTAAATGAATAAGTGAAAGGATAGATGGAGGGCTAGGTGTGGTGGCTCATGCCTACAAATCTAGTACTCTGGGATGCCAAGGCAGGAGGATCACTTGAGCTCAGGAGTTCAAGACCAGCCTGAACAACAGTGAGGCCCTGTCTCTACTAAAGATAGAAAACTTAGCTGACTTTGTGGCATACACCCTTAGTCCCAGCTACTCAAGAGGCTGAGGCAGGAGGATTGCTTAAGCCCAGAAGTTGAGATAGCAGTGAGCTATGATAATACCACTGCATTCTAGCCCAGGCAACAGAGTAAGATCCTGTTCCCCCCTCAAAAAAAAAAAGATAAAGTGTAGATGGATAGATGGGTGAGTGAGCAGATGGAAGGATGGATGGATGGGTGGATGGATAGATGGATGGATGAAAAGACAATGGATGGGCTCAGTGCCTGTAGCACAGTGGTTATGGTGCCAGCCACATACACCGAGGCTGGTGGATTCAAACCCAGCCCAGGCCGGCCAAACAACAATGACAACTGCAACAACAACAACAACAACAAAAAATAAAAATAGCCAGGTGTGGCAGACACCTGTAGTCCCAGCTAATTGGGAGGCTAAGGCAAGAGAATCGCTTAAGCCCAAGAGTTTGAGGTTGCTGTGAGCTGTGATGCCATGGCATTCTACCAAGGGCAACATAGTGAGACACTGTCTCAAAAAAAAAAAAAAGAAAGAAAAGAAAAGAAAAGAAAAGATGATGAATGGATGAATGTAGGATGAACATATGGGTGAACAAGTGGATGGGTGGAAAGAAAAATGGATGGAAGGAAGGAAGAAAGGATAGGTGGGGGGATAAAAAGGTAATAAATGCATGGATGGATGGATGGACAGACAGACAGATGAATGAACAGGTGGATAGGTGGATAGATTAAAAGAAGGATAGATAGATGGCTAGATGGATGACAAACAGATGGATAGGAGGGAGGAAAAATAATTGGATGTAAGGATGGATGGATGGATGGATAGATGGAATGGTGATGAATGGATAGAAGGATGGACAGATGAGGGAACAGGTAGATGAGTAGATGGATGGAAAGAAGGATAAATGAGTGAGTAAATGGATAAAAGGACACAGTTAGGAATGGATAACCGTGGATATCCAAAGGAATGGATAGATGGATGGAAGGGTAGATGAATGGATATACAAATGGACAGATGGAAGGAATGATGGATGAATGAATGGATGGAAAGATGAAAATATGATGAAGAACTGATGGATGGATAGGTAAAAAGATGACTGGATAAATAGATGGATGAACAGGTAGGTGTATGGGCAGATGGATGAATTGACAGGTGGAAAGAAGGAAGGAAGGGAGAAAAGTGGCAACCCAAAGGACAGATTTTAGGACAGGGAAAGAAGTATGATAGAATCCAAGATGGGGCACCATCCCTTCCTCCTAGAAGCCTGGTCTGGAAACTGAAAAATGGACCCTCCCAGCCAGGACATCCCTGCTTCCTACAGGCCTTGCCTGAGGCCAAGCCCCTCATTCCCCAGAAAAATCCATGTTCATCTGCAACCACCCACTTGCAGGCCTGACCCTGCCCAGGGAAGCCCTCAAAGGGTGCTCCAGCCACCTTCCCTGCCACAAGCTCGGGCTTTGATGCGCAGTTTGTGGGGTAGAGAAGGCTGAGTCAGACCCTCAGGGCTATGCCCTGGAACAGGGCAGGTCACCCCAGAAGCCAGCCCCATGGGGTCATCAGTGGGTGTCAACAACATATCTGGGGGCCCTGAGGCCTGGAATCCAGGGAGCATTGCTGACCACAGCCCCCAGCAGGGCCTGAGCTCTGATCTGGGCCTCACCTGCCCATTCAAGAGATGACAGCTGAAGAGAGTGGCTGGGAGGGCAGTCTGCAAGGCCATGTCAATTCTACTGGGGGCAGAGGAAGCAGACTGCTGAGAGGGTCTGGGAGATGCAGCCAGGCCAGTCCACCTAGAAGCCAGTAGGCAGCTCTGACATCCTGGAATCCCAGCATCCAGGGAACATGGCCTTAATAAGCAGCCATGGGAAGAAGGTAAAGAGGAGAGCTGTTCAGCCCCAGGGAGGGAGTCCCCAGTCCAGGGGGATTCCCATAGCAGAGCCTGTAGGGGCGAGGCCCTGGGACCACCAGTGGGCTGCAGGAGGCCAAAGTGAAGCTTGAGCGCCCGCAGCTCAGCCCTGAGCAGGGCGTTCTCCTCTATCAGTACAGCCAGCCTGTCCTCAATGGCTGCATCGTTGAGACGCCGCTTTTCCCGGGATTTCTTGGCTGCCTCGTTGTTCTTCCTCCGCTTTTCCCAGTAAACTGTGTCCTTTTTCTCATCTGGCATGAACTCCCGCTGCCGACGCACAGTGGGGGCCCTGCCCCGACACCCCCACAGGGTCTTGCTATGACCCTGAGATGCCTCTGGCAGGTCCAAGAGACCGACATCCATAGCTGCTTGGGGGACCTGAGGAAGAGGAGACAGGCCTTGGAATAGACATAGGAGGTTGACCTGGATGACCCTGCCCTCTAATTCATCCTAGATGGAGGAGTCAGATAGACCCCTCCAATTGAGATGGAAATCAGGGTGCAATAACAGAAAGCAGAGCTGGTAGGAGAGGCTGAGGAACAGGCCATAGTCATCCTAAAGTGCTGGTTCAGTCCTATGTCAGGAGGATACCAGTTCCTTCCAGGGGCATTCTCCTTACCACTGAGAAGATCAGCAGACAAGCCAAGGGCTCAGTTCCTCAGAGCTCCAGGACAAGATTCTTGGAGACCAAGAAGGAGAGAGATGGAAGGCTGGACCTAGAAAGAAATAATGTGCACCCATGGAGTTAAACTGAGCCAAGGAGAGGTCAGAAAATACGCTGCTACTCGCCTGGACTTTGCCCAGATTGTACCCTGAAATCTCTTCAATCTATGCCCGGAAGTTTACACCTTCCCACCCATCCATCTACTATCCACCCATTCATCAGGTCATCCAGTCACCAATCTACTCACTCAGTTGTCCATTTGTCCATCCCTCTACCCTCCCAACCAAGCAATTCACTCTCCACTCATTTACACATTCATTCACTCATCCATCATCTTATTTTCCATCCATCCACTCAAACATCCACCCATCTCCCCCATCTAATTGTACACTCACCCATCACATCTAACACTCACTCTACCATCCATCCATCCATCCATCCATCCATCTAACTGTCCATTAATTCACTGATGAAGTCATTTTTAAACCACATTGTTCCTTTACTAGGCATCTTTTCATTCACATATTTATTCATTGGTTTCACCCATCTATCCATCTACTCTCCCATTCTTTCATTCATCCAAATATCCCTCCTACATGCCAGTCACCCACAAATCCATTCATTCTTCAAGATATTCATCCATGGGTCCATCCATCCAACCAACAGAAGGCAGTTCTTGAGAACATCCCACATGCCTCATGCTGAAGAACCCAAGTGTTAAGGATGGGGGCAGAGAAAAGAACCAAAGATATTAGACTCCCAACTCCTAGAATAGAGTTCAGAAAGGATGCCCCCTGTCCAGGGATGTCCCAACAATGAGGTATCACCTCTTTTGCCTCAGCCCAGTTTCCCATATTGGTTTTCCTGAATATTCCAATACAATAATCTGGGTTCCCTATAACTAGGATGTCAGTACCTTGTGATACAAAACAAGAAGAGAAAAAAAAAGCAACAAGATGGAAGGGTTCCACCTAAGAATTCAGAAAAACATCAAGAAAGCAGAGACATTAAGGGCCAGCATCATTATTCTCAAAATCTATAACTGTAACGTCCATAAAGGTAAGTATTACATCTTTTTTCTTGCCTACTGTTGTATCCCTGGTAACTACGTAGTATTGTGGTTGTTAATAGTAGGTGGTAGATAAACATGTGTTGCATGAATAAAGAGATGAATGACAACAACCTTGTTCACAGCTGGAGACTGTTAATAATAATAATAATATTTTTTAAATGACTCAGTCTGCCTAATGCATGAGTCTATTTTGCCACCCAAAAATCATGAAGATCTTACATTTCCACTTTCTTTGGAAACTCAGCACTCGGTTTTAAGATAAGTTATGGTACCTTCCCTGAATTGTGAGTGCAGAGTTTTCTTCCCCAATATTCTTAATTCAGTCTTTTATTCTGTATTAACAGTTCTTCATCTTAGTGTCTGTGGCTGGATAATTATGTGGCACACAATTCAGGTCATGTTTGAAAGAGGATAAAAGCATACTCAAACAATCAAATAGCAACACCCCTAGGAATTCTGACCATGATCCTAAGTGCACATTTTCCAAAGTATGTTCTTAGGAACCCCACTGCTAAGGGTGTTATGCCAAAATTATTTTTAAAAGGTAAAAAGATATTTGAGAAATACTGCATACTGCATTCTTTATTCCTTCGAGGAAAATCACTAAGTACATTAAAAGCTCTGAGAATTCCTACAAAAAAAATGTTAGTTTTGTTTGACTTACATTTCTCAAACTTATTTGCCCACAAAATACTTATATTTTACCAAAACACTTTGGTAAAAATGTTGGGGTGCATATTTATGCATTCATTATACAACACTACGCCATTTTCCAAGGTGGACACTGGAGCAAAAGAGGAAAATCAAACTGCTTCCCTGCTCTCACAAAGCCCCCACTCTCATGGAAAAGGTAAGAGTGAAATAATAATGGAGAAGGAAACAGGCCCAGAGAATCTTTTATCTACCCAAGTCACACAGTAAGTCACTGGCAGGACTGTGATTAGAACCCAAATCCACCTAATGTGTGAGTCTCTTCTGCCACACCATTTGGCCCCCTCGTGTGTTCAGGAAACCTCTATGTCTCAAAATCTTGGTTGCGTTTCAAGAATAAAAAATAAAAGCTGTGTGGGGTTCTGTAGTTACACAAATCAATGAAAACTCCCCATCTCCAATGCCTGTGCCCAGGATCCCCTCTGAGAAATTCTAGTCACTAGAGGGACTCCAGTGCCCAATTATAGGGCCCACTCATGGCTCACTCCACCTGCTGCTTCTTGCTGTGGCCCCACATTTGCCCACATAGTGTGGGGCTGGGGAAGCATCCGCAGGCACCAGGTGGGGAGTTCTGGCTTTGCACTTGCCTGCGGCCATTTCTGGGCTTTGCTCCTGGCAGCCAGTTAATGACATAACATTGCTGAGGTGTCCCACTTAACTGAGCCCTTCCAGACACCTGATGCATCAGCCCCACTTACAGATAAGGAAACTGAAGCACAGGAAGTTGAATGGCTGGCTCTGGGGTACTTGGAGATTCCAAAAGGAAACCTGCATTTTCCTCAAAAAACGGTGAATACCACCAACAACCCTGATGCAAAGACTGCTACTGACACCCCTCAAATCCTCCTCCCCAGGTTCCATTCACCCCACTTCCCACCAATCCCCCTCCCTACAGCCCTGCTGCAGCCCAGGCATCTCCTACCCCACCTGGGCCTCTACCACCCTCCATTCTTGACCCCCAAATCTACCCTCAGTGGAGACAAGGCTTTCTATACTTCATTTATCCTCAGTTTAACAGCTTCTAGGGTATGCTTATAAAAGTGTGAGCATTTTAGGCTCCTAAAACCAGTGTTTATATACCCTTCAATTCTCTCCCACCCACCCCAACGTCAGGGAATGAAGGAAGGAAGAAGACACTGCATGAATATTTTTTGGAATGAAACAAGAAATGCATTAATAGTTGAATAAATTAAAGAATGAGTGAAATGTGAGTGAATGAATGAATGAAATGAAGTGCACCATGAGAATAGAGCACAGTGAGTCTGAATGAGTCCTCTCTTGCCTCAGAAGGACTGAGGCTGAGGCCAAGTGTGGTGGCTCACATCTGTAATCCTAGCACTCTGGGAGGCTGAAGCAGGTGAATAGCTTTGATGAACCCAGGGTTTTGTCTTCCTCCTTTTGCAGCCCAGCTCTGGTCTGGTCACCTGCAAGTCCCGTCCTCTCTCCCTGAGCCAAGGTGGTGCTTTCCAGACACTGGCCAGGTTCAAGACCAGTCTGAGCAAAAGTGAGACCCCATCTCCACTAAAAATAGAAAAACTAAGGCAAGAGGATCACTTGAGCCCAGGAGTTGGAGGTTGCTGTGAGCTATGATACCACAGCACTCTACCCAGGGTGGCAGCTTGAGACTGTCTCAAAAAAAAAGACTGATCCTGAGTCTTCTAATGCCCAGACAGCTCATCTGAGCCCCAGCTAAAACATGACCCCAGACAAGCACTCACTCATAGTCCCTTGTCACACCAGGCAGAGCAGTCTCCTGCCACCTGCCTAGCCCTGTCCTAGCACCTTTAGAGGGGGTCCCAGTTACAATTCTCACTTCCAGGAACGCTGACCAGAGTCTAGGAAGTGATGAATGCCTGCTTGGCAGCTAACAGCACACCCCAGGGTCCTGGGGCCAGGGTCTGGAAAGCACCACCTTAGCTCTGGGAGAGAGGACAGGACTTGCAGGTGACCAGACCAGAGCTGGGCGGCAAAAGGAGGAAGACAAAGCCCCAGGATCATCAAAAGCCACAGTGGATTCAGCAGGTACCAAAATAAGAAGACTAAACATGAGCTGGCAGTCAGATAAAGCAGGGAAGGCCGGAGCAGCTCTGGGACAGCAGTCAGCTCTTATTGCAAGCCAGAGAGGAAGAGGAAGGCTCAGTCTCACAGTGGCCTGAGACCCTCCTCTCTGTGGCTTGGCCTGAGCCTACCTAACCACCACCACCCACACCTCCACAGGAACTCAGAGGGAGATGGGACAGCAGATAACTCTGCTGCCGCTGCCCAAGTTTATTTAGAGAAAACACAGTAAGAGCTGGGCTGGGCCTTCCTGTGGTCGCAGAGGAAGTGCTCATGGGGGGCAGTGAGACAGTCAGCACTCATTGCAAAGTGGCCAGAGGGCACTGAGGAAACAGGAAAAAGACTCTCCCAGAGACTGCCCAGGCCAACTCCACCCCACCCCATCACCCCGTACAGCCTCCCTGACCAGTGACAATCAAAGCTCTGCTTGGTTCCCTTGCATGACAAGGAGCTCATCCCCTCTAAAGTTAGCCCACCAGATCAAGTGAGCTCTCATAATCAAGAAAGTTTTCCTGGGCTGGGTACAGTGGCTCATGCCTGTAATCCTAGTACTCTGAGAGGCTGAGGCAGGCAGATCACCTGAGCTCAGGAGTTCAAGACCATTCTGAGCAAGAGTGAGACCCCATCTCTAAAAATAGCCAGGCATTGTGGTGAGTGCCTATAGCCCCAGCTACTCAGAGGTTGAGGCAAGAGGACTGCTTGAGCTCAAGAGTTTGAGGTTGCTGTGAGCTATGACGCCATAGCACTCTACCCAGGGTGACAAAGAGACTCTGTCTCAAAAAGGAAAAAAGAGCTAAAACCTGGAATAAAGCTAAAACCCATCTCTGCTGGACTCTTCCCTGTTAGAATTCATTCTTC